GGGGGGCGGGGGGGGGGGGGGGGGGCCACAGAACCAGCCACGGCAGGTCCGAGTGGCTGTTTCCACGGGACACTGTCCAGCCTGGCTCTGGAGCCCGCCTGCTGCTATTGTTGATCTGTTTGGGGAAGGGCCCAGGCCTCCCCCCAACTCCCCGCCCACCCCCCACGTGTGGGAGCCGGGCGGGGCGTTTTCCGCTGAGCTCAGCAGAAATCCACCCAGAAGGTCAGGACCAGCAAGGAGCTCTCCGTGATGGAGGGGGGCTCTCACTCCCCGGGCAGAGGGGTGGGCCGGCTCACCACGCGGGGGCCCGCCCCGCCTCCCCCTGCCTCCTGAGAACAGCCGTCCCTTTTACAGGGACTTCACAGCCAAGCTTGCCGCGGTCGTAATGACCTCTTCACTGGGGACGGCATAAACAGCCTCTTCTGCCATCTCCTGAGGGGAGGCTGCTGCACTGAGGGCACAGAGGGGGGACCTGGCCCGGTGCACGAGCCTGCACACATGCACACGTGTGTGCTTGGCATGCATGTGTACAACCGCACATGTGTGTGCACGTGTGTATGTGGCCAAAGCAAACACACATGCACAAGTATACATGTATACATTGATGTGCCAGCATACATACATGTGCTTGGTATGTATGCACGAGTGCCCTAGTGTGTCCATGTGTCCATGTACATGTGTGCATTAATGTGTAAACTGCACATATACACACTCAGAGGTGCTCGATGTGCATAAGCATGTGCACTCCTGAGTGCACATATGGGCGGTCATGCATACTTTAGCATACATGTGTCTGCGTGCACATTCCTGTGTGCACATGCTAGTGTATATGCGCACACATGAAGTCTGTTCGCAAGCATGTGATATATGTGCCTGTGGATGTGTGCACACATGTGCTTGGTGTGCGTCTTTGTGTGTGCATGTGTGTACTGCATGGATCCATATGTGTCTATGTGTGTGAGTGCTGTGTGCATAGGAATGCACGGGGCATGCATGTGTGTGCATTCAGAGTGCACCTATCACTTTGTGTGTACATCTGTGTGTGTGTGTGCTTACGTGTGTGTGCAGTATGGATCTCAGGTAGGAATGTGAGACCCGGGATGGCCTTTCAGGGGAAAGCGGGGAATGCTGTGGTTTCCAAGGCGACGTGGGCAACAGACCCCTGGGGATGCACTTGGGCCCTGCTTGCTCTGAGCTTGCTCCGTAGGTGTTCAGAGCCCCTGCTGCCTCGGCTGCCCCGTCCTCTGGGCCCCTCCTCTCCCTCTCCCTCCCTCTCTCTCTCTCCCTACATCCTCTCTGGGCCCCTCCTCTCCCTCCCTCTCCCTCTTTC